ATGAGTCAGTTATTTTCCCCCCTCTCTCATTTAACAGTCACCACCCTCCTTGTCATCAGGATGGAAACAGACTTCTTAGCTGATGCAAGCACAGTTAAAAGATGCAATGTCAGCTAGCCAGTGCAGCAGCACATGACCACTTTGGGACAAATGCCAGTCACAGGAGGAGAGAATGGTTCCATGATTTGAATGTGGACAGTGTCACTCCTATTATTTTTCAGTACTAGCTGCAGCAGCTATTTACATTCTCAGACAGCTACAGAGTCTGGATTTCTAGATATACAACCTTTGACTTCTATTGGCTTTGGATCTGTTTATGTATTTCAGCATGAATTTTAGGGCCAGAATGACTGTCCTGGGCACAGAACTCCTTTGTTTGTCTGTGCAATGCCAGATTCTGGCTCCTGCTCTGAGTTCTGCATGAAGTCACGCAAAGGGGCTCAAAAGCAGGCCTCAGTGGGCAGCTTAGGATTCCCCAAGTGTGGATGACTCTTTCATAGAGCTCCTCTAACTGGTTCTATGCCCCACTCTCTCCTGCCCCTGACAAAGGGGAAGTGTTGGGGCCACGTGGAAAAGAGTGTGACCAGACAGGGCTGCACTCTGGTGATCCCCACCAAGCCCATTACCAGCTGGCAGAGTTTAAAGGACTCCTGAGGCTGTTTATAATTTGTACTGGGGGCAATGCCAGGGAGCAAAGGAGCACAGATCCTCCTCAGTTCAGTGTCCCTGATACAGGGGGTTGTTCTGCAGAATTGAGCTAAGCTCAGAACCTACCTCTTCTTCATGTCCTACAGGCATAGCCTACTGAGGCTCCCCATGGCAGCTTTCCATCGCTGTCTGCGTTCACTGTCCCTAACTACTGCTGTCTATTTCTTCCTCCTCTAATGTTTCAGTGACCATAAGCTATAACTGCTGTGCCTTGAGAGAGATTTGTATGAGTAACACAGGTAGGCTTAAATTGCACGGTGAGGTTATACTCTGGACTAGGTTAATGAACACCTGATTTTTCTGGTAAGATGCCTGAAAAAGAGCATCCTGGCCAGTAAATCATGTTCAACTAGAGAAAAACAAATATATCTTTCCTGTTGCTCCCGGTCTCTCCACATCTAGTTGCTTAGCATCGCTCCTAGTTCATGTGACTCGTGGCAGACTCAGGAGGGTTGCCAACAGACAGGCCGAAAAAATATTCAACAGAGCTCAGAAAAAATCCAGCTGAAAAATAGCAGGCATTGATAGGATGACACAGATGTGTCACTGTGATCGCAGATCAAACTCCTTGGAGCAATCAGCTACACTCATTCTATGCCTTTGGCTCAGGAACTGGCCTTTGGCTTTGTCCACCAAGTCTTGGAAATGACCAAACTGTTTGAAAACAAACCTTCTCAAAGAACCTCAGCTAGCTAGACTGTACAAACAGATCTGCTACTAGTGACTCCGTGATTAAGACTGTTAAGACCATAAGAAGGGCCATACTGGGTCAGACCAACGGTCTAGACAGCCCAGTCTCCTGTCTGCCAACAGTGGCCAATACCAGATACCCCAGAGGGAGGGAACATAGCAGGTAATCCTCATGTGATCCCTCCCTGTCACCCACCTCCAGAGAAACAGGCTAGGGACACCATTCCTACCCATCCTGGCTAATAGCCATTGATAGGGTTGCCAGGTGTCCGGTTTTGAACTGAACAGACCAGTATTTGTGCTTTCTGTCTGGGAAACAAATTGAGAAAATACCAGACATATAAATGTCCGGTATTTTCTAATTAAGTAAGTTTTATTGTTATCATGAGTATCAGTACGTTGTTGCGTACTGCCTGGCTGGTAGACATGCTCATACTGCGTGAGCGTATCTACCAGTCAGGCAGTATGCAACTATACAGTAGAGAGGAAGGGAGCGGGGCTGGGGTGGGATGGAATCCCCAGGGCTGGACTCGCCCGTGCTCCCCGCCGGGACTGTGTGTGGGATGGGCAGAACCCGAGGATTTGCATGTGCCAAGGCCAGCCCTGCTCAGAGGCATAGCGAAGGGGACGGGGGGGGGGGCAATTGCCCCCAGGCGCTATGAGAATAAACCTGCCCAGCCCCACGCTTACCCTGGCTCCATCCTTCCCCACTGTGCTGGCTCTGGGAGTTGGAGAGTGAGTCCAGGCAGCAGCGGTCCATTCTGTAGCTTGCTGTTTCCCTGGACTCAACACCTGGCTCCAACCTGTTGCTTAATGCAACAAGGAAGAGGAGTGAAGAGTTCAACCACATCATTGTGTGACAAAAGCCAAGGCTTTGCCTAAAAGGCAAGCATGCATGCTAAGGGATGCGAATACCCAGGCAGCTGCTGAGCAAGTAGATACATTTATTATAAAGAAGTGTGCAGTTGTGGATGCCATTTATAATTGACATGTTTGAGGACTGGGTTCAGGTTCTTACATAGACTTTCAGTTACTCTGTTAAACAGACCGAGTGATACTGATTGCCTCCAAAAGTTAGGTCTTGCTCAATTAAGACGAGACTGGAAGTGCACAAAAATCTTATTTCTAGTCAGTACAAGAGCTGGGTCTAGAATTCATGATCCCTCCCTAGATCCTTCCATAAGCCAGAATGGCAACTGCATGGAGCTCAATCTCTGTTGGGCTAAAGAGATAACTCAGTGTAGACGGAGTGTTCACCATACCAATAAAGAGCTCTATCAGATCACATGCTAATAGAAAAGTGGAGATGTTTAAAACCTAGCAAAATCTAAGTGGATTTTCACAAGCCCCACAAAAGGCACTTCCCTATTCCTAAAACTATCATTAAATTTCAAGTTCTTGCACTAGGGGCGTGAGGGGAACGGGGGCAGAGATTGGTGAGGGGGTGGACATCAGGGAAAAAGGGGGCAGGGGCAGTGAGGGAAGGGGGAGGCACCAGGAGGGTGCAGGGGTAAGGGAAGGTGCAGGTGCCAGGCGATTCTGGGGGTGAAGCAGAAGGTCAGACACCTTCAGGGGAGGGACCAGCACCAGAGGAGAGAGACAAGGGAGGTGTTAGGAGAGGGGATGAGGAGGGGTAGCTCACATGATCAGAGTGGGGCTACTGGAGGAGTGGGCACAGGGGGAGAGAGAAGGGCTAGTGCAGGGGACAGGTTCCAGGAGGGCTGAGGCGAGTGAGAAGGGCAGGAGTCAGAACAGCAGAGGAGGGTGAGGGGTTGGGGGATAGCAGGCACCAGGGGAGCTGATGGAACAAGGGGAGGAGACATGGCAGCAGAGGTTTATAAGATATCTATTAATAACGTGGGTGCCATAGTGGCACATCTAAACAAGCCACATGAACTCAGTACTGATGCACAACACAAAATTAATTCTGCTTATGCAAGGAAACTCTAAGGGTATGTCTACACTACAGCACTAATTCGAACTAACTTAACTCGAATTAGTTAATTTGAACTAAGCTAATTCAAATTAGTGCATTTAGACCTAAAAACTAATTAGAATTAGCGTTTTGCTAATTCGAAATAGCATGTCCACATTGGGTGGACCTTGAACCGAAGTTAAGGCTGGCCGGAACCAGTGCCATCAGGTTAGGACATAGAGTGTGGAGCTGCTGCCTCAGGCTAGCCGAGAGCTGTACTTAAAGGGACCCGATCCTCACCCCCGAC